TGTGTAGCTAACGTTTTAGCATGCACTATATCACCCACTAATATTAGCTGCAGCAGCTAAGAATTAGCTGTACAGCTAACTATTTTTCTCCGTGTGCAGAACCGCACTCACTCACCCCCGCCCCCTTCACCTCCTTGCAGACGTGGTGCTGGCCGACAAGCTGTGCGGCGGGAGGATCCCTAACAACGTGACGAGCCTGAGCAACGAGGTGCAGATCGTCTACCAGACCGCCAGCAATCCGGGGTACACGTGCTTTCGCTTACAGAGCCACTACTTAATGATTTCGCTGTCTATAAAGCGTACTTACTTTGAGTCCAATGATCTTGGGATGGAAAGACAGCGTGTGCTTGACCCCGTCGCGTCCTCGCCGTCGGCAGTTTCAGTCCGGCGGGCGGGTACCGCGGCTTCGCCCTGCGCTTCACCGCCAACAAGGAGAGCTGCGGCGGCGTCCTGGAGACGCCGTCCGGGACCATCCGCAGCCCGGGGTACCCGCGCCACGTGCCGCGCGTGCGCTGCGAGTGGACCATCAAGGCGCCGCCCGGGCGCCGCGTCTCCATCACCTTCGCCGACGTGGACCTCTCCAACGCCGTGCACCCGCGCTACAACACGCAGCGGGTCTGGGTGAGTCGGCTCGTCATCGCGACATCTTATCTCTCAAAGTCGCAACATCTCAGAATCACGATGCCTTGATGTGGATGTCTCGACTTCTGAGTGTCTGGGCGCGGGCGCCTGCAGAATAGGCAACTCCTCGTCACAAAGCACTCAGGCGTGCGGCGGGGTTGCCTACCTCGGCTGCCGCCAGGGGCTCGCATGCCACCAGTCTACAGTCGGCCGTGATTGTCTGTCTAGCTCTACCACGGCCTGGCGGACACCGTCCCCATGGAGGCCGTCAACTACACCCTGCCCGCCGGCAGCAAGTTCGAGTCCACGTCCAACACGCTGGGCATCGTGCTGTACTCGAACGTCGCCACCGCCAACCGGGGATTCCGCATCGACTACGACACGACCAAGGACCAAGGTAAAATTATACGAAAAAAAAAAACAAAAAACAACGAAACAGCTTTCCAGTTTATGAATGAATGGCCAGTGAATAAACGATTTGAGCTTGGTGCCCGCAGTGTGCGGCGGCCCGCTGCCCGAGGTGATGGTGGCGCCGCTGGGGCCGCCCGGGGGCAACCTCACCTCGTACCTGTGCAGGTGGGACCTGGGCGCGCCGCGCCCGCTGACGACGCCGCCCAACGACGTGTCGGTCAACGCGACCCTGGCGGTGCGGGTCCGGCGGCTCGACGTGGCCAGCAAACAGCAGCAGTGCTTCAAGTACTCGACCAGGATCGTGCTGCGTCGGGACGGAGGTGGGGAGATGTTGTTGTCGCTTACTGGAAAACAAAGAATGAACATATCGTGCAGGCTCTACATTAGCTAATGTGAGCCTCGTGCCCTGCATTAGCTACTGTATAGCCAATCTACACTTGAGTAGACACGGTAGGGATCTGCTTTTGACCACAGACGATAAATTTTCTCCAATTTGTCGACAGAGAAAAATACACTCGCAGTCCTGTGCTCTCGAGTCCAGGAGCCCGTCACCATCCTCAGCCCGTACACCAAGAACGTTCTGGAGGTGAGCGAGGGCGGGGC